TGTCAGATAATGATAGCCGACCCCATGACTAAGCTACTCCCCAATTGCAGGCAAATTTGCCGTCCTCCCGAAGTCAAAAATTCTCCCGCCTCGACTAACACTGTACTTGGCGTAAAATGAAGGGCAACTGTGTAATTACACAACAGCCTATTTCACGCCTGAAAAAGCAGCGAGTTTGTGGCCATTCATAGTTCGCTAAGGTATTTAGTGATTTCTTTGTGTTTTAGGTCCTCACCTCTCGTTCACTTTTGTCAAACATTTCACTCATTTTCAGCCTTCAGACATGGCTACAAAGGCTGTAGCTCGCGTTAGAAAGAAGGATATTGTAAAGGTTGTCCACGGGGCGCTGCTAAGAACAAATATCAGGTAAAACTTTATCTTATTTTAACTTAGTCATGACTCTGCGAAGCGGGATTTTTCCAGTTTGTGGTCAATGTTTAAATTTACAGAGCGCAAATGGCTTCTGCAGCCCCTCCGTTGGGTCCACAACTTGGTCAGCGTGGTTTGAACGTCGCTAATTTCTGCAAGGAATTCAACAAAGAGACTGGACATATAAAACCCGGTAACTTTGTTAAAACTTCCTCTGCGATTTTCTAGTAAAAATAGGTAGGGTAATTTCCTTTGGTTTACACTTTGCTACTTCCTTAGTATGCTCAGTTTATCAGAACTTTTTTAAAAACCCGCTTGAGCGTGTTAGTAACCCATTGACTATCATAAAGAAGTTTATCGCGGGAAACTCAAGAGTTCTTCTTTCAAATTTCTTCAACATCAGTTTTTCTGGAGGAGTGTTTTTCGAGTTACAAGGCCAAATCCCAAATTCTTGTTGCTCACTTTCTCTCAACATTTTACCCAATTCTTATTGAGCATCTGCAAAAAATGTTTTAGGTGTTGTTTTACCAACTCGAGTAGCTGTGAAACCTGATCGGACTTATACATTGGAGATCTGTTCTCCAGCCACTTCATGGTTGTTAAAACAAGCGGCTGGGATAGCGAGAGGAAAAGCGAACAAAGGTTTCTGAATTTTCACAGCAACTGTTATGATCTGATTCCATAGGCTTTTATCTTGTCTACCATTATGAGCTCTTGGTTTTTAAGTTTTGTGATTTACCCTGAAGCGCTACAACACTCTTTTTTTTTGTAATTCTTGGTTAACCTGACGCGTTCGCTTTCCAAATATGCTTTGCTTATGCGTAATAACTAAATGTGCCAGAAGTAAAGGTTAGTTTGCTCAAAACAACGTAAAGCTAAATGTTTTGCTATACAAATGTATACTCAAGAAACTAGTATTATTGTTGAATTCCCCATTGATCAGTAAATTGCGAGTAGAGTTTTTATACTTTTAGGAGAAATCGCTGGCAAACTCTCTGTAAAGCACATATATGAGATTGCCAAAGTGAAATCAAAGGACAAGTGCTTGGTAGGAGTTCCTTTACAGGTAAGGCTTCTACAAATTCTCTTGTTAACACTTTTACTACTTTTACATATCTTTTTTATGTTCAACTATCATCCATACATTATCATAACTTCTTACGTACAGCATCTATCGGATTTGTGAGAACAGAAGTCTCGTGGTCTTTCACTTTTTCTAGTTAATTCAAGGCATTTTCATACGTTGATCTTCAAAATCAAGCTTTTTCCTATGCCTTTCAAGCAGCCTTAATCATCCAAGATTCAGTCGTGCATGTATTTGCTTCAGGAAATATGTCGACAAATCATTAAACAATGTCGAACGTTGGGGATTCAAGTACAACGAGAAGATTTGGATCCTGTGGAGCTAAAAGAATTTCTCGACGAAAGACGGAGAGTTGTTGCAGAACAACTGAAAGCGCTAGCGGATAAGAAAGCAGCAAAGATGTTGAGAACAACGTAAATTAGTACAGGAGGTTAGGCATGTTTATTGAAAGGAATTAGTAAGCTTTTGATAAGATTTCTTCTTCTCTTAAAGCAACAAAACGTTGACTTTATGGATTTGTTTGCTTTTATTTTTGCATAGGTTTTCATTCTAAAGGAATTCCAGGCAGAAAGCAGTGCCAGTAATAATGAGGATCCATAGGCTTGTTTTTGTTGATCTGTTTTGTCCCCTCGCTATCTTATAAGTTAGAACAGTTCATAGATTAGCTTCTTAGAAAATCAGATTTAATAGTTAGAATGTCATGTTTCATTGGAGAAATTGGATAAATTGTACAGCAGTACACATGTTTGCTCTACAAAACTTGTTTAAAGTATAGTAAGAGAGATACAGAATAGGATATTTTTTTTTGGAAAATAAGATGTACTCTATAACTAGCACTTTGTTTATGGAATAAACAATCGATCTCGTTAGGTAAGAGTTCTTTTAGATAGATTTCAATACAGTAGTTACTGAAGGACAGCGAAAGGCAGACTGGGAACCGTAGTAATTTGCAACATTCTTACATCAAAAGGAATGCATATGAAAGAACTTGTTTGCTAATTTGAAAATTTCACCCATAGATCAAAAGGTTCCTCCAGGACAGAGAATCCCTCGCTTCGTCGTAGGAGCTGTGCTTGATCACGCCGATACCGTCTACATATGCGGAACCAAAGCAATTGGCCTATGTGCAGGCTTTCCTTGGCGAAGTGGCTTCTTTTGCGGTACAGGCAATGGGCGACGAGACCTATTAGTTTTTTGTATCGGTCTCTGTAGAGCTGACACTTTTCTCGTTGTTTGATTTGATCCAAGGTGCTCTCTGGAATGGGAATGCGTCAAATAAGACAAGTTAATTGGTCATCATATGCGAACTATGTTTTTCTGAAAATTCGTGCTTCCAAACAAAATGTAAAATCTCTCAAATTCTCAAACCTGTTTGAATTTTTCCTTGAGTTCATAGGTTGTCGTCTTCGTTGCGCCTTGAGTGGAATCATTCCTGGTGCCAGGGATGGTGATCTTCGTGACAGGAGCGCAGATTTCCTTAGGGGCAGCAACGAGTCAGGTTTAATTCGGAATGAAGATATAGGTCGACGTTGCGTTAAGCTTCGAGAGAATCCACAAGATCGTAATCGCACAGAGAGCATGCCAATGTTACATGCTCTTAAATTGAAAAATTCAATAGTTTGAATTTATCCATTCATTCACACATTCCACCTACTTACCCACAGGTTTGTCTGCAATTTTCCCACATGTACACTTGGTTTATATTGCATTGATTCTGTGATGCCCATGTTCCACAACTTTGATTTCCATCACTGCATGCTAAAATGTGGGTTGGAGATACCTCCAAAATCCCTAGTCGTAATTCCCACTTTGGGTATTCCATATGCTGCCAAAAGCAGATCCTCTGCATATATTGCAGGCGGCCTGGCAGTATAACGCCATGAAATCTCGGTAATTGGATGTAGTACAGTACCCTCGGCTAGCCCATGC